GTATATAACAGTATGATATATACAGATTGTATATAACAGTATGATTTATACAGATTGTATATAACAGTATGATTGTATATACAGATTGTATATAACAGTATGATGTATACAGATTGTATATAACAGTATGATGTATACATATTGAGTATGATGTATATACATATTGTATATAACAGTATGATTTATACATATTGTATATAACAGTAAGAAGATGTATACATATTGTATATAACAGTATGATGTATACATATTGTATATAACAGTATGATGTATACAGATTGTATATAACAGTATGATGTATACATATTGTATATAACAGTATGATGTATACATTGTATATGATTATATAACATGATGTATGATTGTATATAACAGTAAGAAGATTATATAACATATTGTATATAACAGTATGATTTATACAGATTGTATATAACAGTATGATGTATACAGATTGTATATAACAGTATGATGTATACAGATTGTATATAACAGTATGATGTATACAGATTGTATATATAACAGTATGATGTATACAGATTGTATATAACAGTATGATGTATACAGATTGTATATAACAGTATGATTGTATATAACAGTATGATGTATACATATTGTATATAACAGTATGATGTATACAGATTGTATATAACAGTATGAAGATTTATACAGATTGTATATAACAGTATGATGTATACATATTGTATATAACAGTATGATTTATACATATTGTATATAACAGTATGATGTATACATATTGTATATAACAGTATGATATACATTGTATATAACAGTATATGTGATGTATACAGATTGTATATAACAGTATGATGTATACAGATTGTATATAACAGTGTGATGTATACAGATTGTATATAACAGTATGATGTATACATATTGTATATAACAGTATGATTTATACAGATTGTATATAACAGTATGATGTATACATATTGTATATAACAGTATGATGTATACAGATTGTATATAACAGTATGATGTATACAGATTGTATATATACAGATTGTATATACAGTATGATGTATACAGATTGTATATATATACAGTATGATGTATACAGATTGTATATAACAGTATGATGTATACAGATTGTATATAACAGTATGATGTATACAGATTGTATATAACAGTATGATGTATATACAGATTGTATATAACAGTATGATGTATACAGATTGTATATAACAGTATGATGTATACAGATTGTATATAACAGTATGATGTATACAGATTGTATATAACAGTATGATGTATACAGATTGTATATAACAGTATGATGTATATACAGATTGTATATAACAGTGATGTATACAGATTGTATATGTATACAGATTGTATATAACAGTATGATGTATACAGATTGTATATAACAGTATGATGTATACAGATTGTATATAACAGTATGATGTATACAGATTGTATATAACAGTATGATGTATACAGATTGTATATAACAGTATGATGTATACATATTGTATATAACAGTATATGATGTATACAGATTGTATATAACAGTATGATGTATACATATTGTATATAACAGTATGATGTATACAGATTGTATATAACAGTATGATATACAGATTGTATATAACAGTATGATGTATACAGATTGTATATAACAGTATGATGTATACAGATTGTATATAACAGTATGATGTATACAGATTGTATATAACAGTATGATGTATACAGATTGTATATAACAGTTTGATTTATACAGATTGTATACAAGTATGAAGATTTACAAAAAGTGTTATATAACATTTTACAGAAATCTATACTGGATGTTAGCTATTGTTCCTTATTTTCGAAACAAATAGTAAGCATTGATACTTCATGGTCATAATACTATTATAATATTGTTTGAACATTTTTTGTTGGAGGTGAAGGGGAGAGGGCGGTTGGTTGGTGGCGCTGATTAAGGGGGTGCTGTTCCTTGCTTTTTTAAATCCTTATCATTACAGTTCTACTACGGAATGTTGATATCCTAATCCAATATTCGCATTTCTGTTGTATTTGTTGTGAGTAAGGTAGCACAGGTACATGTATTGTTAAAACCCTGACGAAGTAAAAAAACACCGACATACCTGTTCTCATTGCGATTTACTAGGCAGTCAACACAAACACAGGTAAGAAAACTATTATTAATATCAAATATAATTCTGCTACAAAAATACACAGAACAGAAAGTTATGATCGCACTTATAAAAACAAACTGTCAAGAAACAAAATAGGTCGTAGCTTTGCATTTTTATGACATGACAACATTGTGTATACGCTTTTTTGTTATATTCATTTTGGTGCAGGTGATAGAGGACACGATCAGAGAAGACAGCTTTCTATTGTTCTTTTGATCTTGTGACCTTGTAGATAAAGTCATCACTAAGTTACTTAGAAGTGGTGGCTGACATTTACATGAGTACTTTATGTTATAATTAAATTTATATATCTAGATAAGTAAATAAATATGTCAACTCGCAGTGTCTCAACCTCAGAGGAAATAAAGCGGATATTCCCACCTGTGATAAAAAGATTTTATTATACTTAACACACCAGGTTAATGAGTGACATATGTTCTACATAAAAGGAAACAAAACCATCATACACTAAGTCTTTAGAAGCATTTCATATTTCAAACTGATGTATGTTTGAAGTGTATATATGTATATATATATATATATATGATCAATGAAGTAATAGCAACAGTACGGACAAGGGAATAGTAAAATTCTCGAGGCAACCTGTCCTTTAACAAGACACAAATATTACATAAATTACATCACATACATAGATAATCACGTCTATATTTATATATATATATATATATATATTTCCAAGGAAGAAATATAATTGATGGCACATTTTCGCTTCCCATAGTGATTAAGATTTATTTTTGTTATGTAAAAGCTTGAGATGTCTTTAATTCACATTCTGTGTGATATATTTACTGGAATATTTAAACACATTTGCATAAAATAGGACAAGTACTATGCAACGTCCAACAAGCAACACTGGTTATACATTTGCGTGTACATACAGGAAACAGTAAGTAAAGACGATGTTCTACAGTAATTGTCTTGTAATAAGAATTCACTTTTTTTTAAATTAAGAAATCCAAAACAGAAATAAAGTTTTCTGAAAAAATTACATGATTTTGACTTTAAAAATGTGTTTCGAAATTGTTTTATACATTTTCTTTTTAGCGGAAGCTGAGAAAGTTAAGTATTGTCAGTTTATTTGGCTTACAACTTTAATGTGGATCTATAAAGAGAGATTGTTGGCACGATGTTAGTTAATGTGGATCTATAAAGAGAGATTGTTGGCACGATGTTAGTTAATGTGGATCTATAAAGAGAGATTGTTGGCACGATGCTAGTTAATGTGGATCTATAAAGAGAGATTGTTGGCACGATGTTAGATATATTGATTAGTTTAATCGGTGTCTTCGAATTATCATAGGTTTAAAAATGGCCACTGTGTAGTTACATATCAATAAATATGTTAGACTGAACTGTTCCTAGTCATGTATAATTCAGTTTGTTTTAATCATCTATATTTTCAGTCTATAATTCTGAATTCGTATGGAATGGTGTTTATCACTTATGTGTCTGTTGCACAATTATAATGTATACAATATATCCATGACGATATAATGCTGTTTAATGGATTAACAGATCCCCTATTTAATTGATCAGTGTCCTTTGCTTTAGTATTGACAGTTCCAGCGCCATTTTATCTGCTTTATAATTTTTTTTCAAGGATTAAAACTGCGATATCAAAATGATAATACTGTTTTTCTGATTGAGTGGAATTGTGTTATCAGATCCTTGGTGAGTGGATATTTATACAGAACAGGAATCCTTGAGAGCTCGACTGTTTGCTATCTAACAAAGAATACTTTTTATTGTAGAAAATCTCTCGTTTTTGTAATTATATTCAGCGGTTGAGTTGATGAATCAGTTTCGCCGTTTTTAAGCTGCTGCCTTTTTAAAAATTAAGCGACAAAACTAGTGACATTAACCTATTCTAACACATATAAACCTGCGAAAATGTTACTTTTAAGGAGAAAAAAAACTGAGCACAACACACCATTATGGCACATTATACTGCCACGGGGTAAAGGTCATAGAGTTAATTAATTACAGTTTACCTATATATCCTACAACACAATCCGACCTTGTCTGAATGTAAACCTAAGTGATACATATCTACTGCCTCTGGATAAAGGTCAAGAAAAAATAATTGTTATTCGCATAGAAATATTTCTTCAAGCTAATGGTCAAGTCTATTTCATAACAAAGGTACAGAATCTTGGGTAATGTGAGTTAACCGGGAGCGACATAACTTATTTATGAGACAAGAAAGTGCCTCAGGCTATTGTGTTGAGACATGCACATAATAATAATTTCTATATTTCTGCAACACGGTCATAATGACTTTTATCATCTTAGGTTTTCTGTTGCATTCCTTTTCGTAATTTTTTCCTTCTGTTCTTTATTTAGTCTGTGTTTTTTATTCAGACATGTGTACGACCATTCCATCCAGATGATAAATATGTGTTTCTAATGACCTCAATTTCATCTCATTACCACCGCAAGTGTAATTTGGTAATAAAAATGTAAAACCTCAAACACTTTAGACCTAGACAATGACATGTTTAACGTAAACACGCTGTCATTAATATCAAACAATTCAGCCTTTTACACTAGATTTCAGTGGCGCTGAAAAAGAACCTGAGGCTTTTATGTTAATGATTTTAATGAATATCAATTGAACCTAAGGCCACTGTTTAAAACTGTTTTAAACAAGACAACGAAATTGGTAACATGTTTTGTTTTCTTATTCAGAGTATTTTGAAAAACATTGACGTATTTTGAAAGAAATCGGATTGATCGAGAATATAGAAATGAAGGCATATTTTACCATTGTGTATATCTGATGAATCTCATGTAATACAAACAAACTTGTAAAACACTCACCCGGTTTCTCTGTTCGAAGTTTTCTCTGCATTCTTCTATACTAGTAAATCGTTGGTTTTCTGCTCGGAAACTATTGTCTGAGTAGTGGATCCATGGATCGGAACGGCTGGGGTTCTTAACGTCACGAGTAAGCACGTGGAATGTGAAAAGCAATGTACACAACATCACCAAGGCGATCCCAGTTCGACTCCTACTTATAAGAGTCATGATGCTAAGGGACGTACTAATCCAATGTTTTAGCCTTCTTCTTAATATGAACTTGTCTCCAATAGAAGTGTCATTATCTAAGCTTAACTAAGATTAGTGTCACATTCTACATCGGGATTATAAAACAAATACAAGATATGATCATATTAGACAAAGTAATCCCATCTATTGTAGTTCTTATAATAGTGTACTGATAGTAATATCCCGGTAGTAGAACAAAAATTGACTGCTTTCACTGCGATGTTGTAAGTATTTTTTTCAGAAATTGTAATTTAGAAATGAGGTAATTTTTTAAATAAAAAGACAAGTTAGTACCTAAGTTGCATCATGCCTGATACTTTTAGCCTACGTGTATAGGTAAAGTGTTTGAGACGTTCTCGATATACCAGTAAGATCCCGAGATGGCTTCTGACAAGATACATCTCATAAAAACATTAATGTTTATGTTCGCGAGTGTACATACAGGAAATTTAGATAATTGATTAGTGTTTCAATACTATTCTATAAAAAATAAACTAAGACTTTACACGCACTACAATAAACACGTCAAATATCACACGTTAGCTAAATTGTTTTTTCCACACATGAAATGTTCCATTTTTCTCTTCTCACATGTACTTTATACCAAGTCGAGATATTATGCTTCAGTATGGTGATATGTATTGAGTAAATTATTCACATTTGACCACATTTAGTTTCTAGGTATTACTTATCATCTGTATCAATCGAGGTATAATCTTCATCTAGCGTCTCCATATATCCGTTGGTAGCAGTATGTTACTGTATCAAATCTGACGATCTGAAGTTGTGTTTCAAAAGGCAAATTGTCTTCGTAGTGTGTATGTCTTGTTTGAATGTCCAAACACAATTAAATCCTGTAACACCATGCATTACCTACACAGGTAAACAAAAACAACAAGTATGAGAATAACACACCGTTCTCAGTTAATAAAGAGCAAGTCCCTCGGGCCTTAACACTACAATATATAAGTCCTGAAAGCATGGCCGCTAGCCACATGTGAACACTGTAATTGTCGATGACAAACTCGCCGATCATTCATCTTCATACGTCATGCGGTCATTGCCAGCTGGTGACAAAGCTTCTCCTGCTGTGAGCGTTCCCATACATAAACCAAACTGTTATGGTCAAAAGATGTGGACAACGGTCATTTGATAATACTTAACGTTTTTTGGTCTGATAATTAAATTTATGGTTTGGCTCTAATGTAGCTAAATCTAACTCAGTTCTAAAACGCATTATTCAGTTGTGTGTGTATTTTGTACAGCATTCTACTCATAATCGTGATTAAAAACTACATGAATTTTGTTGAAAAAAACATTGTAATGTGTTGATTTGCGAAAAATTATGTAAAATATTTTTCAAATGATGAAAAAATAAAAAAATGAATGAAAAACCCCAAAAATAACAAAGAAACAAAGGCGAAAACAAAACAAAAATCAGGGAAAAATTATCTGTAGTATGGCTTGATCGTCTAAACTATTTCAATATGTGGTGCCGGAGCAGCTTGCTCTTTCATTGATATGAAATTTTACTGTATGTCTGGGTTTTGGTTTACGTAAAACAGGTTGGTCAATTCGCCACTGCTATCTCTATCCGCGAGAATTCTTTATATTCTATTGTTTTATAAGAGAATTTCAGAAATAGGTGCTGAAGTAGTAAACATTTTAATGTATAGGTCTCTGCAGGTGACAACACTAAAACAAGACATACATTTATATCTAATGTCGTGTTACTGTATTAGGTCGGGGGACCCTGCTGATAATATGTATTTGTCGCGTAGTCACACCTGTGTTTCTAATGTGCATTGTGTGTGGTCATTTTTACAGCATACATGTCCATCCATCATCGGTCAGTTTCATTGATTTACACTAAAATGATTGGTCGATGAAACAGAATACGGTTACTCTTCCTTAAGACATCCTTATAGTATCCTTGTTCTTATCTTTGGAGTTTTTGCGTATCTTGTTTAATTATTTTCTTTTCACTTGAATTGAATATATGACACACAAGTGAAAAGCACCATTAACAGGAATTAGATACGACAGATTCAGAAAATTCAAATGTATTAGATATACTTAATGCACGACACACCAGTGAATAGCACCATTAACATGAATTAGATACGACAGATTCAGAAAATTCAAATGTATTAGATATACTTAATGCACGAAACACCAGTGAATAGCACCATTAACATGAATTAGATACGACAGATTCAGAAAATTCAAATGTATTAGATATACTTAATGCACGACACACCAGTGAATAGCACCATTAACATGAATTAGATACGGCAGTTCAAAAAAGAAAATTCAAATGTATTAGATATACTTAATGCACGACACACAAGTGTATAGCACCATTAACATGAATTAGATACGGTAGAAGAAAATTCAACTACATCATATAGATGTTTTTTATATCCTTAAACGATTTCTTGAAATCTAGGAAGCACTTGAGAAAAATCAAGATTGGTCATGTTACATATAAAACTATCAAAATAGATATTGACACAATTATCTAACATGTTGATATTCTCATGTCTGTTACGGTAAATGTTTAATTTTTATTCTTTTTCCTCTCACTATCTCTTTTTCAATGTGGTGAGCTGCATTGTTCATACCTGAGTTATTTGGGTTTCTTAAAAACATACGGCCTTTAGCATCACTGACGAAACAGCTGTATGGTGTAACATCACCGACGAGTTCTAGAAGGACGACACAGCTGTATGATGTAGCATCAATGACGAGTCCTAGAAGGACGAAACAGATGTATGATATAATATCACTGATGAGTCCTTGAAGGACGAGACAGCTGTATGGTGTAACATCACTGATGAGTCCTAGACGACGAAACAGCTGTATGATGTAGCATCTCTGACGAGTTCTAGAAGGACGAAACAGCTCTATGATGTAGCATCTCTGACGAGTCCTAGTAAGACGAGAAATCTGTATGATGTATTTTACTTCATTGTTTGTCTCTTCTGTATCTATCTCTAAATTTGTAAGAAAAGGTACTGCTCACTTGTGTGTACAAGCTCCTATTAATATTTCAAAAGTTATGGTGAGATGATACATATTCGCTTACATTTTCGTTAATGTTGATGAAGACTTTGCTAGAAGTGCCATCTCTTCATGTTGATAAAATGAAATTTTAACATTCATTGGATAATGGGTAACCGTATATCTTTATCTATATGTATAGATGAGCAAAGTGAATGATGTTGAGTTATCTCCCCTACATCACAATAAACACAACTACAAACACGACGGGAATCTTATCCACAGATGACTTCATTTCTGGTGTATTGTTAACGGATCCATTACTCAGTGTCATAATAGCATCACAAACTGCTGTAAAACTACTATCAATTATTAAACTATATTGATGATGAACAGTTAGTGTTGTCACTACCATACAAAGTATAAATAAAGTTTGTGATCGTTGTCACAAATATAACTTTAGCTGATATTCAATGATAAAATTGATTAAATTATATTTCACATATTCTCTGATTTTTAAGCTTCATCACACAGCTAGCAGATGTATTTAAGTATTTTGATGATAACATATCTTTGGGTGACGAATAAATCTGTAACAAACACCACTGCTTTCCGTAAGTAATGCAGCCTCGTTTTCAGGAACATCCGTAAAACAAGAAGTATGCATATTTTAACAAAAGAGGCACAAGTCATACAGTTGTTTTGTCATTATAGGATACGGAAGTGGTGCTAAGGACTTGCCCCATATTTCAACAAATTCCATAATTTTCATAGATGTTTTAACTTCAAGGTACAGTTATACTGTTAACTTTGTCATGAATTGGAATAACATTTTGTATAATATGTAATTGGAAATTAATTTGATCCGGAGATAATTGGTACGGAATGTGAACATATATCAATTAATATACCCTATTAATGATGTCGAATATATTTTCACATCTGTTGTTCTTGTCACGGAAGGACAAGGACATGTAATATGTCTGTGTTACTCTAAGTCTATTTTGATACACCAGTACATACATTCCTGTATACTACTGGCAATGATTATTAGGATGTTTTGATGAGTTCTGCGTATCATTGTCATTGAGTAACATTGTCTCTGCTCGCCGTATCAATCCGTTGTGGTAGCTATGTTTTCTCTATCTATACTCATATATATACATTGTGTGTAAACTTTTCGTGGTGATTGACTCGGTCCATGTTATCGAAATATTTCTGTCCATTTTATACCGCGAAATCGTCATGAACCACGGAATGATGCAAATTTGTCTAAGGTAATCGAGTGTCACGTGACATGATAGGTCGTCAGGGATCGTTGTGTCAGCTGGATATTTTATGGACTGGCGTGGACAGTCTTATCCACGCGTGGTCTACGTCCATAACAGATAGGTGAGCTGTACTGTTAATACATAATATATATCAAACTCCGATACAATTTAGACAAGGAATTCAAATCTGGAACCATCAACAACATCATTGTATATAATGTATTGTGTGAATTTATTGATATTTTGGACATTGTTACAGCTTACAAGGAAGACACTTGTTGACTCGTGCCCTTTCCGGGCCTCACCACACCAAATCGCTTAGGCACGAAATTTCAGACTGCCTAACCATTACACTACTTTCAATGTACCAAAATATCAATATATGAACACAATGTATAATATGTCGTAATGTTGTTGATCCTAAGGTTCCATATCTGAACTGCCTGTCGTAGTTGTACCTGGCATTGACAATGTGCGGTTCGTTTGGTATTGGTTTACGTTTCTGATTTAAAAAAAAACGGATACGTACTGCCTTTATTAAGATTCACCTGATAGTATAGCTTAATTAAGTACTATATTTGCTTAACAATAAAATTTGGATATAAAGCCTAATCAGACATACGTGTAACCAGACCTCAAATATTTTAACAGTTGTAACAACTACATGTTGAGACTACAATGTTATCTCGTTAGCTAACCTATTGT